ATGAAAAATAATTATGTAAATATGATTATCAACATAATGTTCATATCATTTGCATGATTTCTAACATAATGTAATACATCATAATCGGAAACAATAGAACACGATCATGATTATAATAATTAAATCATAATCTCATTCAAATATGCAAACACCATGATAATAAACAGTATGTTAGCTTCATGATTATTACAGGAAAGTAAATTCCATGATTATAACCAGTATGTTGACATCACGATTATAACCAGTATACATCATGATTATAACCAGTATGCTAGCATCATGATTATAACCAGTATGCTAGCATCATGATTATAACCAGTATGCTAGCATCATGATTATAACCAGTATACATCATGATTATAACCAGTATGTTGACATCACGATTATAACCAGTATGTTAGCATCATGATTATAACCAGTATACATCATGATTATAACCAGTATGCTAGCATCATGATTATAACCAGTATGCTAGCATCATGATTATAACCAGTATGCATCATGATAATAACCAGCATGTTAGCATCACGATTATAACCATTATGCTAGCATCATGATTATACCCAGTATGTTAGCATCATGATTATAACCAGTATGTTAGCATCATGATTATAAAAAGTATGTTAGCATCATGATTATAACCAGTATATTAGCATCATGATTATAACCAGTATGCTAGCATCATGATTATAACTAGTATGCTAGTATCATGATTATAACCAGTATGCTAGCATCATGATTATACCCAGTATGCTAGCATCATGATTATAACCAGTATGCTAGCATCATGATTATAACCAGTATGCTAGCATCATGATTATAACCAGTATGCTAGCATCATGATTATAACCAGTATGCTAGCATCACGATTATAACCAGTATGCTAGCATCATGATTATAACCAGTATGCTAGCATCATGATTATAACCAGTATGTTGGTATCATAATTATAACCAGAGTGTAAACACCATAATTATAACAATATGCTGGCATCATGATTACGACCAGAATTAGTCCGAATTATTCTGACGTTTCATCGACTTATTTTATATCGGTCTGTCGTCGAGTAACGTCAGAACTCCGGCCCTCTATAATATGTGGGACGACCCTCTTCAAACTGATCTTTTAGAAACAAATCGTCACTTTCACACACATGTCGCACTTAAAAAAAAAAGTCTATAAAACGTCAGAATAATTCGGACTAGACCAGAATGTACTCATCATGATTATAACAGTATGATCATTAAAATGATGTTAAACATCATGATTACGACCGGAGTGTGAAAATCCTGATTATAAAGATTATATGTCAACAAAATGATTATAAACATTATACAAACATCTTGATTGATGAACATGTTGACGCCATGATTTATGATTATTTTTATAAACAGAATGTAAACATCATGAATATAGCCATTATGTACCCAGTATGACTATAAACATTAAAATGATAAGTAGAGATCACCAACATTATAACCAGCGTACAAAACACATCACTTGTGTAAATAAACAACACACACATAAATATATAGATAAAGAATTGTTGACTATGTATACTTCTTTCACACAATCACCAGGTCCCTCTCCTCATTGAGGTTACCAACCTCCCTCAGTGTTCACACCTGAATTTGAATGTTCAAATTTGACCTCAAGTTCATACTTTACATTATGGAGTTAGCACCCGTCTTCAATGCTCTCCTTCAGTCAAAACGAAAAGATAATTGCAGTTAATAATAAATTATTCCTCGTAGTTTTATTAATGAGCACAAATTGTGATACAGTACAGCAGATATGCTAAATTTGCATTTATTCAAATCATCATTCCTTGAGTGCATTTTACTGTTTTCTTAAATTGGAACTCTTTTCAAATGGAGATTTATATCGAAGAAAGGTAACATATATCCTTAACTTGAGCACACATTTCAAAGTTAGAAAACAAGGGTATACCCGGTACCCGATTTATAATTTAACGTAAAGTAGTGTGTCAATTCATTGGGAAAATGTTTTTTTTAAAAATAAGTTCTAGTTTCGTTACCACTGCACAAAAAGTAATGGACCAGTATACTGAAAATGTTTCATTTCTTTCTTTCAATGTGTTGGTCTGATCTTTTTTCTCTTTGATAAAAATGAAAATATAAAAAGATGTCTGCATAAATAATTGCCTAATGGTGTGAAACAAGCCCAACATAGATGAGATTGTAGAAATAGGTACTGAAGAATGTAAATAAACAATGAAAAAACAAAACAGTGTTTAGAAAAAAAGCAATGACAATAATGTAACAACACGGAAAAGGAATGTATCCGACTACATTGTATATACAATGTATAACAATATTTAAAAATAATAGGGAATAGGTATTTTTTACATTATAACAGTGTTAGTATCCATTTGATAACAAAAAAGTTATCTCTCACCTAAAAATAGAACATCTAGATAAACTACCATAAGGTCATTGTTAAATTATTGTAAACAACTTTCTTTTTAAATGTTACTACAATCACGTTTTAATAAATATTGAAATTCATCATGAAAAATGCCTGAAAGTGTTATTTGAAGTAAAATTTCCTTGGAAAAAATAAACATAAAAGTAAGCATACATGTTGAAAGTTTAACCTTGAATAAAACACATTTCAAGGTCATATATTAAGGTCACAACCTCAGGGTCCCATTTACACCTTCGGTCAGTCACATGAGATTCAGCTGTCTACAATAACAGTAACAAATTAATACTACAAATAAATGCTACCTTCTATATATCAATAAGATATAGAGCTACAAAGCAGAGTCAACTTTAGTCGTTATGACTTTTAGCTAATAGAATCAACCCTCCTTTACCAAAGACATGTTTTGGTCCAATCATCAAACTACACCTACTTTCCTTTTTAATATTTTATTGTACTCGCCTAAGATATAGTTGTATTCTCTGTAGACATATGTTCATGGTTTTAGGAACCCCCCTAAGATAAATTTTGGTACCCTCCCAAGATTTCTTTGGTACCCACTAAGACTTTTTTATAATCCTTCTCGGGTAATTTTTGATATGTGCAAACTTTTTTGGAAAATTACTATGACTTTTTCAGTATAACCTACTAAGACCTTGCTGGTACAATCTGAGACATATTTTAGTACCCTTCAAAGATTTTTGTGTTACACACAGGACAATTTCTGGTACTTTCAGTACCCTACTAAGACCTTGTTGTTACCCTTTAAGATAATTTTTGGTACCCTCATAATACTGTTTTTGTACCCTCTAAGTCAAGTTTTATCTCCTTCCTAAGACTGTTTTGGTACCCTCTAAAATATTTTGTTACCCTCCTAAGACTGTTTTGATACCCTCTAAAACATGTTTTGTTACCCTCCAACTACTGTTTTAGTACCCTCTTAGACAAATACCCATCTGATGATTTGTTGGTCAAAAGGCAGTTTATTCCATTACACAGGGAAACATCACTAACCCTTTCACCCCTATGTAACTTTAGTAGACTCTACCATGCATTGATATGGAGTCCATTATGGTATACAGTGTTGAAAGAGCTAATCTAGCCTATTTTAAAACCTATTGTCCTACCATCAAGCCAGTATTTATCAGGACAGATTAGCATTTTCCCACACAAAATTGTCCAAATAGTCCTGCTGTGTGTGAATCTTGAGTAAATAACAAAGGTTCAATGAAAAAACAGACAGACTTACTGACAAACAGATGGAGTGCAAACCTAATGTCCCTTCTGGTAGAATGTTGGCTGGGACTTACATATTGAACTAATACAATATATGGCTGTTAACCACCAACATATCAAGAGAAAGAATTATAGATATATACTGATATACTAACAGAACGTCCTCCTGAGAACGTAATCAGTAACATCTATCACTAAGAACACGTCTAATACACTTTTCAGTACATGTATATCAAATTTGTGTCCAAGAATTGTCATATGAACAAAATCACAAACTTTCAAATTATTTTATTAATTATTATTATTTATAAAGATTCTTAGATCTGGGTGTTTTTTAAAAACAGGTAGTACTCTGTATATAGGAGATTCATTGATGAATTAATTTTCAGATCGGACAATTTTTCAGATCAAAATGGATAAAAAGTGAGATTAAGTCACACATATAATGTACCTGGGAACTTGGTCACTTTAGGTTGGAAAATTTAGTGAGAATGCTAAGTTTTTAACATAAAAATAAGTATCAAATAAATCAGAACACGCTGTATGGCACCTCATGATCAGTGCTAATCACCCAGCTGATCCTGTAAAAATAGACTGAATCAATATCTGTATCATCAAAACAACCAAAATTACATATTTTGAATAAAAAAGATTGAAAACACAACATTACTCATTTGAAAAATAATAATTATTTAAAGCATGACATCAGAAATGTTTAATTTGAAGAAAATTCAAATTCAAATCAATGATATCAGAAATTAATTATTTGGAAAGATATGAGATAATTTGTTGAATAACTTAAATGACATCAGTAGATTATAAGTTGGAGAAAATAATGATTTAAACCATGAAATGAGAAATAAGTTATTTGGAGAAATCAGATTTAAGGATCCCTGTCCCACTGTGCTGAGTTTTTTCCTATATACAGAAACCTCCCCTTAAGGATCCCTGTCCCTCTGTGCTGAGTTTTTTCCTATGTACAGTTACCTCCCCTTAAGGATCCCTGCCCCACTGTGCTGAGTTTTTTCCTATGTACAGTTACCTCCCCTTAAGGACCCCTGTCCCACTGTGCTGAGTCTTTTCCTATATACAGTTACCTCCACTTAAGGATCCCTGTCCCAGTGTGCTGAGTTTGTCCTATATACAGTAACCTCCCCTTAAGGTTCCCTGTCCCACTGTGCTGAGTCTTTTCCTATATACAGTTACCTCCACTTAAGGATCCCTGTCCCACTGTTCTGAGTTTTTTCCTATATACAGTTATCTCCCCTTAAGGGTCCCTGTCCCACTGTGCTGAGTTTTTCCTATATACAGTAACCTCCCCTTAAGGATCCCTGTCCCACTGTGCTGAGTTTTTCCTATATACAGTAACCTCTCCTTACCTTCCGTTTAGATATAAATGTAGCAGTTGGGCAAGGACACTTCCATAGACTAGGCAGTTCAACAGATTACAGCGCTAGTATAACAATCTGAAGTCCAGGGTACAAATCATTGTCTAGCCCCTCGTGTATTTTACAATCATGACATTTTTGTTGATTATATTTTGTTCATATCATCTTTATCCTTTCCCATGAATGTCCCGGAAGGTAAGCTTTTATTTTCAGAAAAGATTTATCAAAGCTATAGTCAAGCCGTAAAAAGACAGTTATTAAAACTCAGTTACAGTTTTTGGCAGTGGTACGGGGATCCTTAAACTTTTATTACAGTCCAATTGTGTTGAGATATATGCCATCTACTGAACAACCTTTCTCTGTATATTTAGGAATTCACCACATTCAACAGAATCTCCTTGGAACACTAGACAGGGTCACAAATGACATCCATATAGACACCTACACTAGTGTCTCTTGATCTCAAAATCTTTATATTCACTTTCTTTCTAGACTCAACATCATGTGTGCCTACAAATATTGTAACGATTTCCGTGTGATCACTGTAAATGATAGGAAATGATAAACTTATTGCAAGACATCCAATTGGGTCATGCTAACTCTACAAGGGAATAATATGAACACTTCTACATTTGGGCATCTGACATGTCGTCGGCTGATTTACCGATGGCGTCCGGATTGGAGAGAGGGTCAAGGTCAGCAAATAAGTTGAACCATGCTGACATGTCCTTCTTTTCCCCCTGGCAACCAAACAAAGAATTTTCGATATAGACTTCCATCACAAATTATACATGCATTCTATAGAAGATTATTCTTACAAACACTTTATCACAAAAATCACGGTTCTCCACACATGCTTGTTTAAGACATAATTCATCACAAAGGTTCTATATTTAAAGTTTTCATATTAGTACATATGCTCTCGTCAACAAAGGAAAAAACAAAACAAAATTACTGTGAGTAACGTTTTCAGCTCTGTTGTTTATATATATTGACCAGGTCTCTTAGGCCCCTTTCTCGTATCCGGTTCAACCAGCTGAAACGGTTGAACCTGAAAGAAAACGACAGGCGCAGATCTGAACATCGGCATGTGTAGATTGAGTGTTCAGAATTGCCCGACTGAAACTAAAATGCTGACTATTGCTAGTTTGTGTTATTTCTTAATAAAACAAGGTCAAGCCACATGTAGATTTTAAGATACGTTATATTATTCAGAGGACGCGTGAGAAAAGAACATATCATTCTTAATGCATTCCCTTACGGAACTTTCTAATACTTAACCTTTTCACCCCTAGGTAACTTTAGTAGACTCTACCATGCATTTATGGGGATGAGTCCATTATGGTCTACGGTGGTGAAAGGATTAAAGAATACTTGAAGTATTGCTTGAAAGTATACCTTTTAGATTATAAGTCAAGTATACTCAAAGTATTTTGATTTTGTATACAAATTAGGTGTTAGTGTTAGACTTTGAAGAGTACTTGAAGTATGAATGAACAATTGTCTGTATGACTTATAATTAGAGAATACTTCAAGTATATTTACAAGTTCATTGATAAGTATACTTTCCCATGTATACTAAGAGTATACTTGTAAGTATACTTGGAGTATACTTACAGTGTACATGGAGTATACTTATAAGTGTACTTGGAGTATACTTATAAGTATACTTGGAGTATACTTGTAAGTATACTTGGAGTATACTTGTAAGTATACTTGGAGTATACTT